ATTTTGAGAGTTCTCTGCATCAGAGTGAATTTAGAGCTAGCAGAACCCAGGGCAGTGCTTACCTAACACAATCTCTTTGTCAGTTACTCTTTTCACTGTTTCAGGTTTGCTCCAGTATTAGAGTTGTTCTTTAAACCTGTGAAGATCAGAGCTGTGAGAAATCTGGTGATTACCATTGCTAAGGGTTGCATCATGAGTCTTCTGTGTTTTGATTTCCGGGGGCTGGGGTTTGCACCTGAGTTTTACTTTGAATGCAGGGGTTCCAACAAACTCAAAATGTCAAAAGCAAACTCAGGCAACATCATTGAGTTTTGCCTGGTTTGGGGCTGAAATCATGGCTCTTGCACTAGAAATACATAGAGAGATGGAGAAAAGCCAATGACAACCATTTCCAAAACCAAACTCGCATCTGGTTTTGGTGTTGCCAGCCAGCGCTCATATCTGGTGTTTTTCTTAAAGTCTCAGCTCCTGGAGACTGGTGGTTCCATCTTCTATGAGAATCACTATGAAAGAACTCCCTTTAAAACAAGAAGTAAGTTTCTAATCCTGATTGTTGTGGAGGAGAGCTGAAAAATGTGATGTCTAACGGCTCAGAAACCAGGAAGTTGATAAAAAGGACTGCACATGTGTTAGTGTTAAAAATCTCATGATTTTTAAACCAATCGCATGTTTTGGGGCCTGATTCATTTTTTTTTAAAATGCTTGGGGTTAGTGATATTGCTGACTCCAAGTGCAATTGGCACTATTTGGTCCCTCCTTGTTGGCAGGCACAGCAAGGAAGCCAAGGGTGATCGAGTGATGGATACTGAGCTGCTTTCTCACCCCCAACAGATGGTTCCCCCAGTCAGAGATGAGACACCTCGCCAGGGGCAGCTTGCCCTGCCAGTGCCACTCCCAATGCTGTCCCTCTTCCACTGATAAACAGAGGCCCGAGGAGCTGCCCGTCTGGCACTTTTCATACACACAAAACTCACTTAATTAAAAAAAAAGCCCTTAGGGCATCATAAAATATCAATCAATAAAAATCAATCAATAGGAACCATTGGCAGCTGCTGCGAGTAAGATGGCGCTTCGATTTATTTTTTATGGGAAGGGGGTGAGAGCAGAGTGAAGGAAAATCAGACCCAGACATAACAAGGCCTTTGAGTGACAGCCACAAAATGGGATTATTATCATTCTGCAACTGTGGTGCTATCATTTTTCATTTTTATTCATGCAATGTAGAGTGGTTTGGCTTTCAATGCTACAGATCCTGGTTTGGGTGAGGGAGAGAATAACGGAGTGGTTGATGAGGGGTAAGAAGAGGAAAAGTGGCTCCCTGGGAAAGACTTTTTGTGGGGAAACACAGTATACCTGACACTGGGTCCTTTTTATTCTTCCCATTGCATCAAGGTTGCTGCTGTTGCTGGGACACCACGGAGGCAAGACAGAGAAATAGGTGGTGTTTTGAACAGGATTGCAAGAACACACCATTAAATAGATCTGTCACTGCTAATATTGTTTGAAGGCTTTCTGTTTCCATGACAACCTGACAACCTAACAGCCTGGCTGACAGTGCTCTAAATCACTCTGGGATAAAAGCCTTTTATTTTTTTCTTTCCCCTGCATAACTTTGGACATTAACATCTTCAATGTGTCTTGACAGTTTTATTTGTTGTTTTTTTCTTAGAATCATAGGGTTAGAAGGCACCACAAGGACCATATAGTCTAACCCCCTGCCAAGACGTAGGATTTGTTGTGTCTAAACCATCCAAGACAGATGGCTATCCAGCCTCCTTTTGAAAACCTCCAGTGAAGAAGCTTCTACAACCTCCCTAGACAGTCTGTTCCATTGTCCTACTGTTCTTACAGCTAGAAAGTTTTTCCTGAGATTTAATCTAAATCTGCTAAACTGTAGTTTGAACCCATTGCCTCTTGTCCTGTCCTCTTTGGCAAAAGAGAACAACTTTTCTTCATCTTTTTTTATAGCAGCCTTTCAAGTATCTGAAGACCACTGTCATATCCCCACTTAATCTCCTCTTTTCCAAACTAAACGTACCCAGTTCCTTCAGTTTTTGCTCATATGGCTTGCATTCCATCCCTTTGATCATCTTTGTCGCTTGCCTCTGAATCCTTTCCAGTTTCTCTACATCCTTTCTATACACTGGAGACCAAAACTGGATACAGTACTTCATCTAAGGCCTAACCAGTTCCGAGTAGAGTGGTACTATCACCTCCCATGACTTTCATGCTATGCCTCTATTAACACAATCTAAAACTGCATTTACTTTTTTGGCAACAGCATTGCATTGCTGACTCATGCTGAGGTTTTGATCCACCATAACTCAGATCCTTCTCAGCAGTGCTGCTGCCAAGCCAGTTTTCCCCCATTCTGTATTTGTTTTTTCTTCCCTAAGTGTAGCACCTTACATTTGTCTTTGTTTAATTTCATTTTGTTGTTTATATATATGTATATATAGCCCAGTTCTCCAGTTTATCAAGATCCCTCTGAATTTTAGCTCTATCCTGCCAAGTATTGGCAACCACTCCTAGGTTTGTGTCATCTGCAAACTTGGTCAGTATGCTCTCTATATCTACATCCAGGTCATTAATAAAGATGTTAAACACTGGACCCAGAACAGATCCCTGTCAAAAGGCACTTGAGACCTCCCTCCAATCTGACATCAGTCCATTAATAGTTACTTTTTGTTTGCAGTTGTTTAACCAATTGTGTATCCTCAGAATGCTGGGAATCATTAAGAAAGGGATAGATAATAAGACAGAAAATATCACATTGCCTCTATATAAATCCATGGTACACCCACATCTTGAATACTGCGTGCAGATGTGGTCGCCCCATCTCAAAAACGATATATTGGAATTTGAAAAGGTTCAGACAAGGACAATAAAAATGATTTGGGTTATGGAACAGCTTCTGTATGAGATGCGATTAATAAGACTGGGACTTTTCAGCTTGGAAAAGAGACGACTAAGGGGGGATATGATTGAGGCCTATAAAATCATGACTGGTGTGGAGAAAGTGTTATTTACTCCTTCTCATAACACAAGAACTATGGATCACCAAATGAAATGAATAGGCAGCCTGTTGAAAACAAGCAAAAGGAAATATTTTTTCACACAACGCACAGTCAAACTGTGGAACTCCTTGCCAGAGGATGTTGTGAAGGCCAAGACTATAACAGGGTTCAAAAAAGAACTAGATAAGTTCATGGAGGATAGGTCCATCAATGGCTATTAGCCAGGATGTTCTTATGTTCTCTTAATAGTAGTTCTGTCAAGCCCACATTTCTCCAGCTTACTTACCACAGTGTCAGGTCAAAAGCCTTGCTGAAGTCCCGGTATATTATGTCCACTGCATTCCTCCTATCCACCAAATCAGTCACACTGTCAAAGAAGGAAATCAAGCTGGTTTGGAATGATTTGTTCTTGGTAAATCCATTCTGTTTGCTAGTGATTACCCCTTCATCCTCCATTCTTAAACACATCCTGATTGCTGTATGTTTGGAGATGTTTTTTCTTTTTAATTAACAAGTGATGGGGAGAAGGATCAAGATCAGAGGTGAGGAATAGTTGAAAAATCCCTCCTTAAAATACTTCTCTACTGTGATGCTTACAACATACCCAACAATGATTGTGGGCAGGCAGGCAGCTGGTTTGCTCGGACTGCTGTTTTTCATGCTGATTAATGCCATCTCTTTATTTCCTTGGGCTCAGCCCGGTTGTCTATTGTTGGCTGTGATCTTACACTAGAGCATAAGCTCTTCAGGGCTGGGACTATCTGTTATACATTTGTACAGTGCCTAGTACAATAGGGCCTTCGCCTCTAGGTGCTATCTTATTAATATTAATAAATCAAGATCCCTTCTCTGTCTAAGACACACCACTGTCACAGATAGCGATGGGAAAACAAAGCATCAATTCCATAAACCTGCAGTTAAAGAAATACAGAGCAAAGAGTCAAATGCCTAAACCAAACTGGCGAAACAGACTGCAGGCTGTGAATTGCTCAGACATTATGGTAATGGGGATTGGGGACCATATAAGATCTGTAGAGAGGTGAAAGGCAGCAGAGGATCTGGAACTTAGATCCTCCCACTCTCACTGCTTTTGGCATCTACAGCAAAGTCAGGTGTTTACCTGCAGCGTATCTGTACTTGTGCAAACCTTTAGCAGAGCTGGGAGCTGTGCGGCAGAGGTGTAAACTGTGCCCCATGCCTAAAACCCCAGGGTAGGCCAGGGCTGAGACTCAGGCTCTTGGCTCTCAGCCCGCTCAGGGTCGGTGCCAGGTGTGCCAAGGCCCAGTGGAGCACAACTGCACGGGTGATGCTGATTAGGAGGAAGGGGAGCAGAGCACAGGCTGCAAAGGAGAGAGATGGTTCTGGAGTCCTGCAGCCCGCTGGAAACACGGGGCAAGCGGCCCAGGACGGGAGACTGGCCCCTAACCTAAAACATCTGGAGTGGGGGCTGGAGAGGGCAGAACAGGAGGCAATGGGACTCGGGGAGCTCCATCTCCTTGGGGCCGGGACTCCGGGTCCGGAGGGGAATCCCCCGCGGGAACGCGCAGTGCGGGGTCTATGGCACACGGTAGGGCGGGCTCAGCCAGGCTCGAAGACGGCAGCGGACTTGAGTCACTGCCTCACCCTCTGGGAATGGGGCCTGCACGGGCCGACGGCATCCCGCGGGGACCACCCTCCCTCAGGGGACCGTCCTCCCGCCCAGCTTGAGGACCTGGGCTCAAGAGCGTTCTGATTGGCTGGAACTCATTCTAGCCGCTCAGCCAATCGCGTACCACGATGTATGTGACTAAGCCAATCAGAGAGAGACTATAAATCTTCATAAGCCAATCAGAGCCTCTTTACGTGCGAGCCCCGCGTTTAACCCGAGATCGGGAAACCAAAGCTAGCTTCTCGCGCCGCTCAGAAACAGGCAGCGTCAGGCGAGAGGGCGTCGGGGGGCGGGGTCTGTCTCCCTCCCAGCCAATGGCAAAGGGTGTGGACGGGCGCGCGCGTGCCGCGAGATCCAGTTCCGGCGGGCGGGCTGGCGGCGGCGGCGCCCTCAGGGCCATGGGTCCCGCCGAGGCCGAGTTCCTGGCCGAGAAGGAGCTGGTGACCGTCATCCCCAACTTCAGCCTGGACCGCATCTACCTCATCGGGGTGCGGGGCCGTAGGGCCCGGGGCCTGGGCTCGGGGGTTAAGGGGCCGGACCGGCGCGTGTTTGGGGGGAGGGGGGGGTAAATAGGGGCTGGGCTCGGGGGCAGGGCCGTGCGGGCGGGGGCGCAGGCAAGCGGGCCGGGGTGGGGGCTGGGCTCTCGGGTGTCACGGGGCCGGGGCCCTGACGGAGGCAGCTGGGAGGTCAGGGCCCAGTTCGGGGAACAGCACTGGGGGGCGCCCGCAGTGGGCTTACGTAGGGAAGCAGGGTGGGGAGATGGGGTGGCCCGGGGCTCGGCTGCGGGGAGGGGATGGCGGGGAGATGGCCCTGGCCCGCGGGCCGGGGCCGGAGAGCCATTTGGGGCTGACCCGCTCCGCAGTGGGGCTACTGGCATCCTGATAGGCGGCAATGGTATCTCTATAGCCTGCCGCCCATCACCATGGGGTCTGGGCGCCTGCCAGTAAAATCCATAGCGATACCAAAGCCAATAATGGAGTAACAGCAAAGTGCCCAGTCGTGAACGTTACGTTACCCTCCTGGCTCTTCCTAACCTCTGCATTCCCTTTGGCTAACTGCCTGTGAGCCCAGATCCCTCCTGCAGCGCCAGTGGGTAGAAGACTCACCTGCACTTACTGCCCTACACTAGTTGTTCTACTGTTAAAACATCTCCCATGGCCCACCCACAGCCAAAGGGGCTACCTTTCAGAGATGGGAGAAGTAATTTTCATATATAGCTTATGAAACCCTTTAGGATAGAAAGTGTCATCAAAATGTAAGTAGTTACTGCTAAGGGGAGAGAGGAGAACTGTGCTGGGATCTGGGACCAAAAGGAGGGGTGATTTCAGTTGGCATGGGGTGGCTTCCCTAAATCTACAGGAAACTGTTGATCCTTCAGCAGTGTGAGGCTGATGAAGGAAAACTAGATTTTCAAAGAGGTCACAATTTTCCCTGCTCTGTTATTTCTCCTTTCCTTATTTTCATACTGAATTTCATTTTCCAGGGGGATTTGGGTCCCTTTAATCCTGGCTTGCCTGTGGAAGTGCCTCTTTGGCTAGCTGTTAACCTAAAACAGAGACAGAAGTGTCGGCTAATACCTCCTGAATGGATGGATGCTGGTAAGGAGAACAGTAGCCTACAGATCTGGCATGGACTTAGCCAGGCTGCAGGGCTAGTGGGGAGTCCTGAAATACAGGAATTGGACCTTTGCACTTTTCCCAAGGGAAAGTTGCAAGGACAAATGGAGTTATGGGAAGAATCGTTGCTGAGATTTTCGAGACCTAGCATGGTTTTAGACCAACAAGGTGGGTGATGTCTTTTGTTGGATTGATTTCTGTTGGTCCAAGAGACAAATTTTCGAGCTTACACGGAGCTGTTCTTCAGGTCTTGTCTCTTTCACCAACAGAAGTTGGTTCAGTAAGAAATATTACCTCACCCACCTGTCTCTCTAATATCCTGGGACCAACATGGCTATGACAACACTGCAAACTAGTGTGATTTTTAGCATATCCTTGTTTTAATTTTTAATCTGTGTAGTTAGAATATATTCTTATTCTGATACATAAAATTGGTTTCAAATACTGCGTCCCCGTTCTACCACTGGTTTCAGTGTGATCTTCAGCTGGCCACTTCACTGTTCTTGGCTTTATTTGGCCACCTGTAAAATGAGAATCATACTTGTCTACCTCAGTGGGGAGATTTGTTTGTAATAAAAATGCAGAGTATTGTTATAATCAAGGCAGGGTCTGCTGCCTTTTAGCACCTCTTTTTTCTAGCCTCATCTCTATGGAAGAGGGTGTCTTTGGAGAGCATAAAGAAGTTCTAATCTCCTCATTCTCCTTTGTCCTTTGAAGGCAGTTAGGCGCTGAAGAGATTTTACCCCAATGTGATGTATGTTCCTCCCATTAGAAATAAAAATCCTAGCCCCCTCCATTCTGCCATCTTGAGAGAAATGTATAGTTGAGGAGGGCAGGAAGCAGGTAATGATGGAATCTCAGGAAGAGTGAAGAGGCTTGTGTCTCTAAACATTCTCCCTTTTCCACATTTTCCTCATTCCAGAGAGTGCAAATCAGTGAGCCAAAATGTTACTTGGCAGAAAGGTTCCTTTTTTGGAGGAGCGCTCTCTCCAGTCATGTGACTCCTTCTCTCCTCATGTCCCAGGTGGTGAAGGTGATTCATCCTTCTAACCATGTTGGACTGAATGTTTCTCCTCAGCTCTTGTCACTGCAATCCTGGGTTGGTGGGTGTCCCTTTCTCCCATATGAGTTGAGGTCCACTTTCTCTTCTAGACATGAGATCAGATTAACTTTTGAGCATTAGACTTGTTTCTCCTGCAGCAGCTGGTGTCTCCACCTAAGTGCTGATTCCTCCTGATGTAAACACGAAACTGGCAGTTTATCCTGCAAAGTTGGTTAAGGGGTGCAGCTTCCATGGGAGGACTTGACACCAGCGCATTGAAGCATCTGGTAAAGAATAACTCTTCCAATTGTGTTTCAGAAAAGCTGGAGGAAATCCGGGATCAGGAACGCAAAGAGGACACTTTCACTCCAATGCCCAGTCCCTACTACATGGAACTAACTAAGCTGCTGTTAAACTAGTAAGTAGGTCTCTTACTGTAGTCAGTCAAAGGCACTTTCCTCCCTGCCCAATTGGGTTTGAGGTTGGTAAATATTCAGGAATGTGAGTCGTGACATAGGAAAGCTTTTAGGATTTGATTGGATTTAAATTTTGAGGCCTTTGGGAAAGTGTTAACAGGAGGCTTATTCCAAAGTACATCAAGATTTTGCTAGGGCACTTACCTAATGGTAGGCTTTGTATTTATTAACTTGGTTTCACTTGTTCTGTGGTGTGATAACTGGACTCCAGCGCTGCATACAGAAGTAACTAAGTGTAGTGGCCCTGGATGTATTTAGCATATTTTTTATCTTCATTTATACAGATTCACAGCTCTCAATCTACCTGAGAGGGCCAGCAGCTTAATCCTTCCAGACTTCTCTGCCTTCTGCTGCTGTTAGGCTACCCTTTAGGAGTTGGGAAATTCTTCCTTTCTCAGCCTGGAAAGCAGGGATTGGGGATGACCTGACTCTAAACTGTCATGTCTGCTAAGACATTTCATTACAATAAAATTAGCTTTCTGGCTGGTATTTCTTCTAAGCCAGTGGCTCTCAACCTTTCCAGACTATTGCACCGCTTTCAGGAGTCTGATTTGACTTGCATACCCAAAGTTTCACCTCACTTGAAAGCTATTTGGTTACAAAATCAGACATAAAAATACAAAAGTGCCACAGCACACCATTACAGAAAAATTGCTTACTTTCTCATTTTTACCGTTTAAAACAGTTGCAGTACAAATATTGTATTTACATTTCAGTATATAGAGCAGTATAAACAAGTTATCTGTATGAAATTTTAGTTTATACTGACTTTGTTAGTGCTTTTTATGCTGTTGTAAAACTAGGCAAGTATCTAGATGAGTTGAAGTACCCCTTGGAAGACCTCTGCATACCCCCAGGGGTATGCGTACCCTTGGTCAAGAACTACTCTTCTAAGCACATACCCTTCTGACTTGAAAAGCCCTTGATTACAGAGGACTGGCCATTTGAAGCCCAACTGTTTTTTTTTGTTTGTTTGTTTTTGACGCTTACAACCTCTTAGCACACAGACCCTTTTCTAACACTAGAATAAACCTAGAATAACCAGGACACTTCTGTCCAGGTGAATTGATCTGATCTCTTGAGGTCCTTGTGGAAGTGTTTAATTGCCTAACCATTAGGATGTTATGTGACACAACCTGTATGGTCCTTGTGATTGAACGGTAAGAGTACCGGGCTGAACTTGAGCTCTAATAACAGTTGAGCCATTGAGTTGCTGTTTTACTTGTGACTTTGGCCAGGTTATTGGACTTCCTGGTATTCCAAACCATCTGAGCAATTAAAGACCAGAAGGATTGTATTGAAAACTGAGCTTTCCTGGGTAAATAAAGTATCCAGAAAACCCCAGCTGCAGAAGCAGCAGCACTTTGGATTTCAGTGTTCCCTCTTTGTATAAAGCAAACTACTCTGTTCATGCTTCGAGAAGCTGCCAGTGTTACTCATGCCAGAGACTTAATGTATTAGTCCCTTGCAGCCTGTTCTGACCGACCTTCCTCCTCCTCTTCTAGTGCCTCAGATAGCATCCCGAAAGCAGATGAAATCCGAACACTGGTTAAGGATACCTGGGATACACGGCTAGCTAAACTGCGGCTGTCTGCGGACAGCTTTGTCAGACAGCAGGAGGCCCATGCCAAGGTACAATAAGGGAAATCTGGGGTGGGCTGATAAGTCTGCTGGTTTTGGCCTGGGAATGTTCAAGATGCTGTGTGATTGTGGCTTGTGAATGATTAATATTGCTGGTGAAAGTTCCATAGTAGCTTTTTTTTGGTGATTTGGTTATTTGTCAGTTGAGAACTATAGCCATATGGGTTTTTTTACTCCACTGTATTATGTTGTTCCAAATGCTGCAATGCTTCTTTCAGCTCTAAGCATCTGCACTACAATGTTGCTCTCGATGATGTAAGTCACCCAGTACACCAACCTTATAACTTCACCTCCGCAAGAGGCATAGCTGCTTAGGTTGATGTAGTTAGGTCGACAGAGTGTCACTGTAGAAACTGCACTGTCTGTTCTGGCTGTCAGCCCCTGGTGTCTGACAGCTTGGAGCCCCAGCTGTCAGCCCCAGTGGCTGGGCTCCGGGCTTTCAGTGCTCCACTGTCATTTAAATTGGTGGCAGTGCTCCTGTTGAGGATATGCACTGCCAACAGGAGGAGGGTAGTGTGGACATGCATAATCGATTTTAATTACTGCAGTGGCTGTATGTTCACGTAACTTATGTCAACTTAATTTTGTAGTGTAGACTTGTCCATAGATTGACCTTCCTTTGCCATAGTGAGAGACTGTAGTGCTGCTTCCCCAAATACTGCTGTAATGTCACCCTCCTTGTCTTTTAGCTGGATAATCTGACCTTGATGGAGATCAACACCACTGGGACTTTTCTTACTCAAGCCTTAGATCACATGTACAAGCTACGCACAAACCTTCAGCCGGGTGAGAGTGCCCAGTCTCAGGATTTCTAAGATGCCTTCTGACAGTCTAAAACCCTCATGGGATGAGGCAATAATAGTAGGAGGACTCTGCCCTATGGACACTATTAATGAGTCCTAATGGAACTTGCCTTATGCTGTTTTTATGTCTTAAATGCCCTGTATAGATCTCTGCTAAAAACCATGCAAGTCTTATACATTTCCTGTCAATTGTGTCTAACTTGAGGCTCTGTGGTGTTTGCATGAAGGCTGGTTTCCCTCAGTTTGCATGCAGGCAATAGAAAGAAGGCAGCCTTGTGGCTGCATATTAATAAGTTGAGGACTGCTGATGGCACAGAGGGCATTCCCTGCTCAGCAGCTCTCGTGAACAGCTTCTGCTCTATAATGAGCATCTTTGGCAAAACAAATGATTCTACCTGGCAGAACTCTTCCAGTCCCATGTGCAGCTGTCTTTGCAAGATGAACTGGTTGCAGCAGTTAGATGCTGTGGGGAGGTTTTTCTTGTTATTGCCTTATTGGTGGGATTTTTTATATCTCTTAAATGATATGTAGCAGCAATAAATATGCTCTTAGTTTAGTGTTTGTTCTTCTCCTTCCTCTGGTTGTCTAAAGCCTGGCTGAGGAAGATCACAGAATAGGACTGTTTTAAACACCTGGATGCACAGCAGTCCTGTGGCTTCCCTGAGGTACAGAGTGATATATGGATTTTAACACAACTCTACTGCATGGTGAGGCTTGTTTCTTCAACTGGGCCATCACTTACAACATATATTCATCTCTGAGGACAGCTGATAGATGAGGTCACGTGGCTGGCTGGCCAAGGCCATTTAAGTGCACTGTTCTCTCTCTCTGCACTTGTAGCTTTGTATTTCTCCCTCAGTGGGAAGATACAGCTTTAAAGAGAACATGCACTACCTCATTTGGTTCAGATACTGCTTCTAGCAGGCCACTGAGATTCTTTGTGGATACAGCTGTGGCAGGTGGTAGCTTACCAGCAGCATTTCTCTCATTTATACTAAGAAAAAACAATCCCTTTGTTGGTTTTCCTGAATATAGTATTATCATAACAATAATCTCTGCAACAGAGAAAATATTAGGTGGCATTCATAGAGCCTGTTCCTGGACGCTGCAGGGATAGGTGATAGTTTGAAAGCAAAAGATTATGATGTAGCTTAGCTCCCAGTGCACTGAATCTAATCTTTAATCAATGCCAGTTGCTGTGCTAGGCTCTGTGTGGATAGCAGTAAAGGGGAGAACCTAGCCAATCTGCTGGCTGTTTGGAAACCTAAGAAGTGGGTTCAAAAACCAGTTGGAGGAGCGGAAGGTCTTCCAACTACCAGGAATATTTCCTATCACGGTGATGTATTGTTCATTTGATCTTTTGACTGAAGTTACTATTTGTTTAAAAAAAAAAAATCATGCATATAAAAGTGAACTGTCTGTCGGAGGAATAAGACTCCTTTTCCTTTAACATCCACTGGTACACTAATTGTGTGAAGATCTAGATGCTATTGTGTGAAAACACCTCCTCTTCTCTTGCCCTTTGCAGCTGACATTAGGGGCCTTGTCTATCTCAGAATCTATAAACTGGTCTTACTGTTGGCTTTAGGCTCAGTTATAGCACTTGCATCACTGTGAACACCACAAGGAATCAAATGTAGCTGAATGTGTGTGTATGGGGGCTGCCCTTCACTCAATGGAAAGCAAGTCTGTTGTCCATGGCTCTCATCAGGCAGCAGTATTTAATCACCATAATGTTCCCCATGTCTTCAGACAAATGTTTCCCTACTGCCTTTACTCTCAAACATTGAACGGTCTTCCAGATATCTCCCACCATCTACTCCCTTCTGAGCTTCCCCTGTGCTGTTTTTGCTATCCCATTCTCTTTTATGTAGTCTCTGGTTAACTTGTATGTATCTCATTATAGTGAGGTGGTTCAGAGTGAACTGGCCTATGTATCTGATGATGGAACAGGAGATAGGATACTCTGGACTGACTTGATCCTTCTGAAATAACGAATCCCCTGACTTAAAACAGCTTGTAGGGCCCAAGCTGGGCTGGGTGCTGGCTAAATGCCATGATGTAGTGTCAACCACACAATGCCTTTTTGCTGAAATCTTGTAAATGGCAGTGCATTGCACATGTTGTCCTTCACTCTGGATCAGTGTAACTTTTCCATCCACTAGTGGGAGGGAAAAACAATCCTTTGCCATGATTTAGGACAATTTTATTTTTTGGATGTTGTCAGAAATTACAGCAATATATTCATAAATACCTAATTACTACATTCAACAAATAATATATTACATTACAATTAATTCAAACAAGTACACTTAGAACAGGTTTAATTTTTCTTTCACAGCATCTAAACTGCCCCCAGCAGGCCTGGGCTTCCTCCCCCTCTGCCTCTCCCTCCCATGCTCTGGTTTTTACTGCTCTAGCAATTCTGCACAGGGTACATACAAATAAACACAACCAGTCAACATGGCCCTTGGGGCAGGGGAGAGGGAGGGGAGTATTACTGAGACTTTTTAAGCAGTGGGTCAAGAAGTTGGTGATTAGCTCCTTTCTCTATTGGTATTTGAGGAATGGGGGATAGGGGTGGAATCAACACTCAAGTACAGGAATTGTTGCAAAGCAAAGTTACATTTTCAAACAGGCTCATAAACATTGCCATCTGGTGGTGTGCTTGTGAACTCCCACTCTGCAGTGTATTGAAATTGATAGATAAACTGACAATGAACTTTTTTATCATAGGCTGGGAGGGGAAACAGTGATTTAAACATAAAGTGTATTTTTCTATGTTAAAATTATCATGAAGTCTGAGAATTGGCAGCTAGTAGGCCAAAGGCTTGCTATGCAATCTGGTTTAAAGAACTGTCAGCCATAAGTGTATTTTGCTTATTAAACAGGTAAGTTAAACCAAGAATTTGTGTGCTTTTTTTAATGCGCTTTTTTTGCTCATGCAAGAATAGACCTTAAACACAAAGCAGTGGTAACTTCCTTTCTTTCTTTAAACTGAGCCCTGCTCTTTTTAAAGAGCCTCCAATATTTAAAATGCAATTACGATTAGAAAAGTGACTCTAAAAACAGCATTACATTGCGGCTTGGTGTATTCTGAGTCATAGCTGCCTCATCTACTACTACCCACTCAACTTTTTTCTGCTGTCAGTCGTGTAGTATTTACAAGACTGAACACCAGAAACTAAATTCTGATGCTAGAATCTTTGATTGCTGACAGTGTATGAAGCAGGAAGGCTATGGCTTTAGTTTCAGGTTAGCAGTAACCTACCTTGGCATTAAAAATGGGCTCGCTTTAAGTTGTAAAAATAGGCAAGTCTGATAACAAAATCATCAACTGAGAGTAAATCTTTAAAACCACATAGTATTCTAGTCACTTGCCTGCTCAGAATGGCACTTTAAAAAAGATCTCTGCCCTCTGAGTGAAAGGAAAACTGCAGGCCTGTTGCTGTGAAGACATTGCTAGTCATGGAAGACAGAAGTTCCTTCATGTAAATACTCTGAAACCAGAGTGGCATAAATCAGCTCTGAAGTCAACTGTGCAGTGTAATATTTGCTGTTCTTCCTATTGTATATGTTGATGTAGTTTTGTCTGCTCTTCAGTCTCCCAGAGGGAAAATAGTGTCAGCCCACCAGAAAAGAAGAATCACACATGAGCAGTCATACAATCCATCATTTCAGCTTTTTTGATAAAGCTAAATTGACACTAGTCAGCGACTGCTTTATTTTCTTCCATTTGCAAAATGGAATGGGCTCAAGATAGGCTGGAGGTTTGCTGTTTGTACTGCCCTAAAAACCAATACAAAAGGGGAAAAAATATAGAATTGCATGGCTTACCATAGGCATTAGTTTTAGCTTTCCTTTCTGGTCCTTTTCCTTATTTATTGTTCATGCGGCATTACAGCCTTAGCTTTATTTAATCTGATTGTCATGGGGGGAGGAAGGAGGGAAAAGAGCCTTCAATGTGGAAACTGTAGCAGGGTTGCAATTGGGTGTTTGTAGGAGCTATGGCTAAAGGGAAATCATAGCCTCTAGGTGCTGCATTTAACAACAGGTGGATGTTACTTAAACAGTAGCACATGGATTTGCTTTTCTCTGTTCTGCCCTGATCGTCACTCTGGCTGGCTCCTCAATCATGAGCTATGCAAGAGCTTGAACTAACTGTCACTGCCATCTGAGAACACATAATCTTCTAGGAATGCAATAGGCTAACTCTTGCCCTGCCTGAGATTTAGTGGGCAGCATGAATGTTTCTTCTGAAAACCAGCAATAGACTGAGGCTTTGTCTACACTGGAAACTGAACGAGTTCTGTTGTTCAGAGCTGTGGAAAACACACACACACCCTCAACAACAAAAGTTTTGCAGACAAAAAGCAGTGGTGTGAACAGCACTTTGTTGACAGGAGAGCTCTTCTGCAGCTGAAGCTGCTTGCTGGGGGTGGAAGTTTTTTGTGAGTGGGAGAGCTCTCTCCTGTTGCCAAACAGCTGTGTTGCGTAGACATAGCCTAAATGGCTTGCCTTTTAAGTGTTGACTGTTAGAAACCTAAAGCAAATAACAGGGAGGTGGAAGGCTATGAACCTTGTCTAGAGCATGTTGTGATTACTAGAGGCTGTTTTTCCACTCCAAGTGTTTCACTGTTCCAACAGAACAGGTATCTCTGGCTATCTCTGTCTTCCAAAATCTGCTGTTGAAGGAGACATCTCCAAGTCTAGAGCCAAGACAGTAGTATGTAGATTTTGATCAGAGATGTCTGTGCTACTTTTGCCCTCAACTGTCCCATGACTCCTTCCCTCAAGCTGTTGAGTAGAGGAATGGGACACGTCTACCTCTGGCCTTTCCTGTCTAATTTACAGCTGAAAATGAAGAGCCTGTTAGTGCTGTTCCTCCTGCTGCCACGTCATCTTAATTTAAGATGAAATATTCCTGATAACATGCACAGCAAATGCAATATTACTGCCAGCTGCTAGGAAGTAGGGGGAAGCAGAAGCCTATTACCCACAGTATCCCTCACCCATCTAAGAAATTAATAAAAAACAAAATTGGTTCCTGTGCACTGCTCAGAAAAGACTGAATTTTGCCAGCAGCTGCCCCTTGGCTGCTTACAAGGAATAGAGCTCAGCTAGGTTTGGGATAACCCAACTGTAAACTGAACTTCAAGCGAGCTCTTTGTGAAGGAGGTCGTCCTAGTTCAGAAATGTTATTCAGAGGAATAACTAACTGGAAGAGAAAGAAAGGGCAAGCTGGGAGAATTTCTACTTCCTCCTCCCTATTCCCACTGGTGTTTCTCATGTGAATAAAGAACAGGGGAAGTTCAGCTCAGTCTGCACTGCTTCCTCTCCTGTAGTTCTCTAACACCTCATTGCTAACACATTTTTCTAGAGTACTAATCAGAGCGCTGAAAGACATCAGTAAAGCTGAATCATAGACCCAAACAGTTCATTTAGTTCCTGAACTTTTGTTCCCAACACAGACTTTTCCCCTCCCTTCCCCATTTAGTAGGAGCTGGTCCTATTTGTAATGTAACTTTTGAAGAGCTTGAAGGGGAAAAAAAAATC